CTCAAATGTAAGGTAAGGTTTCAACTTTTTCAAAAAAAAAAAACTTGTGAAATTCATTAAAAAAAAAGATCGAAATTCATTTATATCCGTCTGACTTTCCTCTGTATTCACCATTTTATGATTTCCACACAGTGTGGACATATTTTTTTCCTGCGTGCGTCCTGACGTGGCGTAAACATCCATTTTGTACGAAGAAAATGCCATAAAACGGACTAAAACAGAAATATTTTGTAACCTCTTAACGCGAGACGTTGCAAGTGTGCATCGGAGTTTCATATAAAGAAGATAAAGAGATCATTTTCAATGGCTGTTACATTTTTTAAATCCAGGTGTCTATATTGTAGAGTTGCATTCAATGTGGGATCTGACATGTGATTTGAAAAGTTGTAGAAACATTTCTTTATTTATATAGGTAAAAAAAATAAACCACAACTCCAAGGCTCCTAGTTGCCTTATTAATTGATCTATTTATGTGATTACTCAGGTATTTTAGTCTTTTTTAAAAAATAATGTCATAGGGTACTTTTTACCTAATGTGCAAAGTTTTGCTGTTTTACCCCTTTTTATTGAAGAACTTTTGTCATTTCCTTGACTAGTCGCGTCAAAATGTTATCTTAAAGTCTCATTTCATCATTGTGTTCATTTATGACATAATGTATCTTAGTGTCTTATGTAAAAGTTTATTAGTATAGGATATTGCCTCAGGAAAGTCAATTATAAAATATTAAAAAGAAAACAGGTCATATTATATTTCCCTTCGGAGCTCCACTCTTGAGAAAGTTCCTTTTATCTGTACTCTTTGATATGGATTTTATAAATAACTGTTTATCCATCCATACTAGTAGATTTTGCCTCTTACACCTATAAACTCTAGACCTTACTTAATTAATACCAATAAATAACTGTTTATCCATCCATACTAGTAGATTTTGCCTCTTACACCTATAAGCTCCAGACCTTACTTAATTAATACCAATAAATAACTGTTTATCCATCCATACTAGTAGATTTTGCCTCTTAAACCTTTAAGCTCCAGACCTTACTTAATTAATACCACAGCTTAATTCTGAGATCCATATGTAGTACCGGAAGTGTAAAGAATTTAATGCATATCCTCTTATCCCTCAAAATTTCATTTTATTTCAGTTCCGCCCATCGTTTTCTCGTTTATAGTGCACAAGCATTGTTTTACTTTGGAACGATACGACGCTTTTCATGGAAAGCACGAACATACCATAATGAAAGTTCCATGATACCCGCCGTATTTACGCATCTGCGGATGTTTCTAAATTAAAAATTTCGCTGTTTTCATGTTTAAATGTTGAATTTTGCTTTAGCGATGCTAGAGAGCTTGGGCGGTAGCTTGCACATACCAGTACTTTCCAGGAAAAGACTCAATCAAACTGAGCTTGCAACGTTTTTTAATTTTGTGGTTTTGGGATTTCTTTAGGGATTCTGATTTTTGCTATTTTAATAATGTACCGGTATTATGGTTTTTTTTATTAATATGTTTAAAGAGCGTACACTTGTAATATATAATTATCACATACACGTGATTCTATATATAGTCGTATCGTTTTATGACCACTGATTGTTCAATGTTTATATGAGTGCATGGCGGGAAGATAATGGACATGCGCATTACTGTATAAGATAAAAAAAGTCGATATACAACAAATAATAATTGTTATTTCTGTAACTTTCCAATAACAAGCTATACTATTTGAGGCTGAAACACAAAAAAATGATACCACAAATTTAACTCATATACACGCGTTGTTTTCGCCCCTTTTACACCCCATTTCAGTGAAAAAAATACTCTATTTCGGCCTTAAACACTTGTTTTCGTTTGAGAATGTTTTATAAAAAGTGATCAAATTTTTCGGCGCCGCCCCATTAAGAAAATTTTTGACTTGTAAGAGGCTAAAAATTGTCTGAGGTCGATCTTAGGTAATGTGTAACCAACGTTTAAAGGCCTTTGACTTTTTTTCAATCCATTGATATTTCCTAATATGTTACCTTCATGATATAAAATGTTTTATTTTTATTATTATAATAATAATAATAATAATAATTATTATTATTATTATTATTATTATTATTATTATTATTATTATTATTATTATTATTGTTCTTATTATCATGCAGCACTTCGAAATCAGTTGGTAATTTTGAGATGTCCCATCGTTGCCTTGGTAACAGGAAATTTAAGAGTTAGTATGCCGTTACAAAGGCTATGCACGGTCGAGTCAACTTTGTGCCAAGTTTGATCAGTAATGAGTATTGAAGCATTTTGTCTAGTTTCATAGCAATTTTAGTTTGTAACAGGAGGCTTTTCAATGAAAACAGCAATGTTTCACAAAATGCCCATGAATACGGTGTATAATGGTTTAAGTTGAAATACAGTTGATTCAAGACCGGCTCCGGCGCATTGACCAGTTCCAAACAATCAAGCGAGCCATTCATGTAAACCACAATAAATAGTTTTGTTGTTTATTGACATTAACAAATAAATATTTTAGTCATTATTCTATTTCAGCTTCTAATATTTTTTGTCCGAAAATTGACTCTACATGAGGCAAAAATGCTGAAATCCATATCGGCATTTTTTATCGGTACATGCTATAATGTAAACTGAAAGAAAGGGACACATTTTATATATCGATGGAAAAGTTGTTATTTGCCATACAACTTCATCCAAAAATATATGCAAAAAAGTAAAAAAAGATATTCATACCTGTTTAATCCAGGAGACCTATTTTGACCAGTTTTGAACACGTACATGTATTTTTGATGACGGGATTATTATCAGACTGTACCCAAATGAAAACGTTTCCGCGTTTTCTGATTAGAAAAAAAGTTCTTTAATGTTGAAATATATGAATGAGTATATGTTAGAAAGTGTGCCAACATTTTATTTGAGTTATATGTATTAAATTAAAATCATGTATTTAAAATGCATGCAAGGAAAGTCGTTACTAAAAATATCCTACCATGTTATTATTTTATAACAAGTACTGTACGTGTAGTGTAATATTAATATACATTTATCTCTGAAAACTGAATAATGAAATAAAATGCAGAATATAGAGCAAAACAGAACATGGACATGGATGTCTGTGTCATTGTTGACAGATATTATTTAAACTAAAGATGTTTGTCAATGTGGATAAAATTAAAAACATAGATTATCTATAGAAAGTATTTACCAGTAATGGGACTAGAATGAGTGTTGTTCAAGCATTATTGCAAAACAAAAACTTATTTTCATCTTGGACATTGTATAAGGCCTTGTTTTAAACAGAACTTACCAGAAATAATGACAAAAATCAAATGCATGCAATGCAATTGCAGTTCTGCTTCATCTCACGCCAAGTATTGTGGTGCATTAAAGTTTACAATACCATATGCATGTATACCCAGAATGAATATTAAAATAATAAATCAGACTTAAAAATTTTGGCTGTGTACTTACTTAGTTTAAGTATTAGCTCGCAAAAATAGTCAAATTCTACGTAGGTAATATTACAAATGGCATTTGTAACGTTATGTGCACCGGACCTTGCTTCGGAAATGGTGAAACCAACCAGATTCAATCAAGCAGTATTCTTACTAATAAAAGAAAGATAATATACAAAATGTATTTTCCGATAATTGTTAGGTTTGAAGTCGAATCAAATATCAACTAGCTAGCAGGTACATTTTTTAAACCAACTATTCGGAACCGGTAAAACGACAGTATCACATTTTTATTAGATTTATTTTATAACAAAGTAAAATATACATTGTATTTTTTTAAACCAAAACAAAATGCTGAGGCCATTATCATACTTAATTTTATTGCATTAAGAACACATAAATTTACCGAAACGCTATATAATTTTATGTAAATCATTATATAATACATTTTACCATTGAGTTTTTTTAGTTAATATAGAAAAACAATCAAAACAAAATCTATTATTTATAAGTCCAATGTTTTCATGCTATTTTTGCCTCATCATTTAGAAAATTAGAAATATATATAGCCATAGAGGGAAAATACATTTTACTGGTAAGTGAAGGACACTATTTAGTGTTTTGAGGCCTTTATGAATCGCGCATGCGCTGTTAAATTGAAGAAAATATCAGTATGGCGGAGGTTAGTCCCGGATAAGATTTTTCTTAAAATTTGAAGAAATTGATGTAAGTATCTTTTAAATCTTGTAGCCGTTATGTTACATATTTTATACTGAAACGAAATGATTACTTCATGAAACAGAAATAACTAATGTGCCAACACAAATTACAAAAAGTTAATAATTAAAAACGAAAGTAGATTTATGAAAAACTGGGGGAATTCCCACATTAGGCTAATACTTATAAATGTTTCAAATGGAAAGGCAACACCCGTTTATTAAGCATTTATAAATCATATATGTTATCTGAAATCATAATTTTGATGAATACTTTATTTAACTAATTTTATTAGGATACAGTAGATCTTAACAGTGATTTTTTTACCTCTGCATCCTGAGTCCAGGACTCATTGAATTTGCTGTGGATGCAAAGTTTCAAAAAATGTGCATCTTTTGGATGCATACTTTTTCTGAGTTGGGAGTCCTGTCTTACAGGAATTTGGTAATAACTTTTGATTAATCTAAAACTAATGGAAATAAACTTATTTAAACTATTTGACAGTTTTGAATAGTTTCAGTATCAGAAGCATTGTAATTAATGTAGAAATCAAATTCATTTTTTCTTCATTCCATTGTTAATATACCTTTCATATCACTAAAGCAATATTAAGCCTTGTAACTTGGATTTTTCTGCTAAATTTTGAGACTCATAGAATTATAACCCAGTGAGTCCTAGGACCCACACTGATGAGTTTGTAAAAAAATCACTGGATCTATGATAATTTTCCAAAAGGTGTTCAGCGAAAACGAAAGAAGAAATTATTAACCAATTATTTCGTTCTAAATTATTTCGAATTCAGACCTGAATCTAACCAGTTTCTGACCTCAATTCAACCAATACAAGGTGCAGGACGTGAAGTGGTTGCACACTTGGTTCAAGCGAGCGAATTGGTTGCAAACTTGACATTATGGCAAACATGGCGTGAGTTTTTGAAATGGGTAAACAAATTTTTGCCAGGCAAATGGGTTTCTTTGATATTTTAAAGTTCATTAGTATGTCTATTCCATAATTCCATATATATGAATATAAATAATATCAATAAATAAATTTCAAATTCAATAAATACCACATGTCAAATTTCAAAATATCTACATGATCAATTTATATCTTCAATAACTTCGTCAAAACCAGGGCATTTTTTGTCAAAATTGTGAAGGGGCCTGGGCCTGTTCATTTTGTGAAAAAAAGCGCGATGTGTCTTGAAATTGTGAAAAAAAAACCTGTAAATTGAAAACAGTAATGCATTTTTTTTTCAGACTTGAATTGACTTCTATTTTGTTTTATTGACATGCTGTTTCAAAGTTTAAGGTGTCTTTCTTTTGTAATTTGTATTTTTGAAATGTTCAATGATTTGATTATAGTCCTCTTCAGAGACTGAGAGTATGTATCCTTTCTACTATTTATCCTATTTTATCACCATCAATTTAGTCATTTGTTCCGATGGTGGCGATCCCATTTCATGGGATGAAGGTACAGGACAAGGTTTCTCAACTACCATTATTTTACCATGATTGGATTCGATCATTTGTACCAATTATGGCGGTCGGAGGTACAGGACACGATTCTGTAATTACCGAATCTGGTGGTAACATTTCTGCCCGGTTGTCTTAAGTTTTTGTTTTTATATGCCGAAATTTTGTTCTTGCGTTTTCTATTGTATTTCCCATTTCGTGACATATTGAAACCGGAAATGTCGCGCAATGAACGCTTGATTATAATTTCTGACTAGTCTAAAATCCGCTTCAAGCCGGTATTTTCAACCCAGTAAACATGCGCTATTACATTTAACTCGATTAAAACTACGTGTTTGCAATTAGCAAAAATCAAGTGTTACCGAAAGTAAACAATAATTTGAGGAGAACAGATTAGAAGTCGAAGTCCTGATATTTTGTGAAATCTCTTTTGAGATTGTGAATTTTTTTCCGCCGCATTGTGAAAAAAAAGTGCAATTTCGAATTGTGAAGGGGCCGATCATCGGCCCCTGTTATAGAAGGAAAAAATGCCCTGATTAAACAGAATCAAGGATGCTGAAACCTTTAACCAAGTGTGGCATATATATTGCATTATGGAACAGACATACCAATGAACTTCAAAATAACAAAGAAACCCACTTGCCTGGCAAAAATTCGTTCACCCGTTTCAAAAAATCACGCCATATTTGCCATTATTTCAAGTTTGCAACCAATTCGCTCGCTTGAACCAAGTGTGCAACCACTTCACATCCTGCCCCTTGCAATATATAACAATAATGTAACTAAAATGTGTCCATAATCTGACCAAATTCAGACATTCCGAAAAGTAACAGGTAAATCTGTTCTTATTTTATTAAATCTATATACATGTATATGATATAAACAATAAATACACGTTGTCGCCTCCCATTACCAGCATGGGTTCGTAAAATGCATTTACACGTGTAAACTGTATAAAATATCCTCCATTGATTCCATCAAAGTTATTGTAGCAGTTAATATATGAATCAGGGATCATCGATCTTGGGGGGAAATTTTAGGGAGAAGGGAAACAACCCAATGTGTATGCATTAACGAATTATACACAGGGTGGACCGTATCAGGGCGGACCGTATGTTTGGACGAGCGGACCATATTTTGGGACGGGGTGGAACGTTTTTACCGGGAATAAACTTTAACCTTTACTTAATGCAGTTTATTGATTAAAAATATTTTTTAGGATATTATTAATAACCACATTGAGTTGGATATTATGCAGGTGATAATTGACCAATATTACATGCCATTGTTTGTTAAATATAAGATGGAAAGCCGCTAAAATTGAAATTCTTTATTAAACAATATGATACAGAAAATACTTGTTATTCACATCTGATATTGTGAAACACAATACAACACAATAACGTAAAATTTTTCTTTAACGAAGTGCTTGTTTGAGGGGAAAGATTGCTATTTTGTTTATAGTCTGTAGAAATACACATAGACAGTATAAGTCAAAATATATCCTTTATTGACAGTCCAAGAAATTATGTTACAAATACAATGTATAATAATAAGAATTCTCAATACATGCACATCAATATATAAAATTCTTGACAATTTATTTCAATATAATAACAATTATTTATTAAAATTAAGTTGGGGAAATAATTATTCACTTAGCATTATGAGAACATTTTGATAATTAAAATAGGTAACAGGTACCATGTCAACAAAATGTATATGATAAAATACTTAATTTACATTACAAAAATCAATGTTCAATCACAGTATTCATGTGTTCCAAAAATATAAGTCAAGCTATGAAAAATATGTTGTAAGTAAAACATAAAGTTACATTTTAACAAGTCAGAGACTAAAGTAAGTCTACAAAATTTCATGTCCTATAGATTTTAGAAAAAGAGTTAAAATATAAAATAAAGTTTAACATGAGTTAAAATATAAAATAAAGTTTAACATACCTGTAGAAATACACATAGACAGTATAAGTCAAAATATATCCTTTATTGACAGTCCAAGAAATTATGTCTGTCTAACTTAAACTGTCTCTTTTATAGGTATGTTTTGGAATTGTTTGAAAAGTAGAATTAATTTATTAATGGGTTTTCACTTTGAAGTTATAAATGTCAAAAACTAAGAAAGAAACAAAGCTGTGATATTTTACTCAGCTATTATTCTGTATTTGTTTGTATTTACTCTATAAAAAAACAGTCCATCTGTTAAACTCTATAAAAAACAGTCCATCTGTTAAACAAAGAAAAGTGCTAAAAAGACCTAAAGTGCTTCCTAGGCTTAAGCAAAATGTGTTGATTAAACAATATCTTAAGTATGTTTGACATGTTAAGAATGATGGTTTCTATCCCAAAGTTTGAAAAAGTTATTACTGTAAAAAATACATGTTATTTTAAGGTTTAAATTTGAAAATACAAACAAGTAAACTATAGATACAAAAATGTACAAAAATATGCATTATGTAATATAAAAATATAACTCATATTTGGGGTGCCTTATAATATGATACAGAAAATACTTGTTATTCACATCTGATATTGTGAAACACAATACAACACAATAACGTAAAATTTTGATTCTTATTAATTTATTATTATTTCTTTGTTTTCATATTGTAATTAAGTAATATAAATAATCTATTTTCCTCTATACAGCGAAATTTAATGTTATGAATGGTATATATAAAAAAATAGTACAATGAAGGTAATTATACCCCCGCACAACAAAGTTGTAAGGGGGGTATCCTGGAATCAGCTTGTCCGTCCGTACAGCTGTCCGGCCATCCTTTCTTCTTTTTTTTTCTGCCCAATAACTTAAGATTCCTTTGACCCTTAGTCTTCATATTTGGCATTGAGGTTAGTCATGATTAGTAGATGACCCCTATTGATTTTGAGGTCAAAGGTCAAGGTCACAGGGGCCTTGACTTCAAAAAGCTTGTTTGCCCAATAACTTAAGATTCCTTTGACCTACAGTCTTTATATTTGGCATGGAGGTTAGTCATGATTAGTAGATGACCCCTATTGATTTTGAGGTCACCAGGTCAAAGGTCAAGGTCACAGGGGCCTTGACTTCAAAAAGCTTGTCCACCAATTAACTAAAGATTCCTTTGATCCACAGTCTTCATATTTGGCGTGGAGGTAAGTCATGATTAGTAGATGACCCCTATTGACTTTGAGGTCACCAGGTCAAAGGTCAAGGTCACAGGGACCTTGACTTCAAAAAGCTTGTCCGTCCTATAACTTAAGATTCCTTTGACCCACAGTCTTCATGTTTGGCATGGAGGTTAGTCATGATTAGTAGATGACCCCTATTGATTTTGAGGTCAAAGGTCAAGGTCACAGGGACTTTGACTTAAAAAAGTTTGTCTGCCCAATAACTTTAGATTCCTTTGACCCACAGTCTTCATATTTGGCATGGATGTTGATCATTATGAGTAGATGACCCCTTTTGATTTTGAGGTCACTGGATCAAAGGTCAAGGTCATAGGGACCTTGACATCAAAAAAGTTTGTCCACCCATTAACTTTAGATTCCTTTGACCCACAGTCTTCATATTTGGCATGGATGTTGATCATGACTATAAGGTGACCCCTATTGATTTTTAGGTCACTGGGTCAAAGGTCAAGGTCACAGGGACCTTGACAAAAAAAGCTTTTCTTCTCAATTGCTAAAGAATGTCCTGTCCGCAATGTATTGATTTTGACATTTTCACATTTGAAGCATGTAGAATACATAACTTAGCAATGCACTGGCTTAGTAACCTCAGATTTGGCAGGGAGGTTGTCCTTGAACTCTAAATGGCCACTGTTGATTCTGACAAAGTGGTATGTGGGGGTATTCACGCCATGATAGTGGCAGTTTCAAGTTTATATTTAACATTGAGGGCATAAGGAAAATAGTTTTATATATGAGATTTTCTCAAACCATTCACATTAGCTTATACAACCTATTTTATACTTATAATTGTATGGGTCAATATCTATAATAATGAATATAAAGTTAGATTAATCCACAATCCACCTTATGTGTGTGTGCACATGATTAAAATATTAATATCATATGAAGATTTAACAAGTTTTAGATCGATGTTAATTTTTTAAATTCAAATCTGTTCAATATGAAAATGCTTATAATTATGACATGTTTAGGATAATAATGATGCCAAAATATATATAGAAAATTAAATAGCAATATTTAATTCGAAAATATACATTGTCCGCCTCGTCTCGAGTCACGGTCCGTCCTGTCCCAAAATATGGTCTGCCCCGCCCTGGTATGGTCTGTCCTGTCTCACGGTCTGCCCTATCCTACATGTACCACCGCATTATCATGCATGACCAATTGGCTGTACATCCTTTAACTATAATATAAACACAATTAACAACACTTATAACATTTCCACAGTTTATTAATTAATAGTAGATCTGGCAATGGCCTCTAAACGTTTTTGACCTGCAAATATGGATAAAAACAAATAATTTATAAGATTTCTCTAAATATTTGTTTCTATGTTTTCATGTAGATTTGTTGTTAATGTCACGGATTTATATTACAGGGATCGGTCACTCCAAGTTAACTCTATATAAATTTCCCAAATATCTTGTCGCGCACCCGATAAAGGTACACCGATCGATAAATTTATTGCCACTAAGCGTACATCATCTAAATGCCTGTTCGCAACGGATACTTACTTTACAAAATACCATACAGCTTTTCCATTTATTATTCGATTTTGGAAATTTAAAGTTTATTTTGAAGAAAAATACTTGTTTAATTCAAATATCTTAATTTATTTTTTAAAGATACAGACTATCTGTTCGAAACGACGATTATAAAGTTAACTTGACGAAATCCGCGGTGAATTTACCTTTTTTATATAAAAAGCAGATATTTGAAATTTATTATTACGGTAACATAATTAATTCAATTTCAAAATATAAAAGAAGCCTATGCAAGTTATTCACAGATGATCAAAGATGTAATATTTAAGATTTATTGGGTTATGTAGTCAAATTTATTGACACACAATTGTTTTATGGGTAAATGTATTGCGGGCTTAACAATTCGCTCAACATGTAAAGTAAATTTATTCTTTTTTTTTTTCAGTACAAAATATTGTTGATATTGTCAATTTTGCCATTTTCATAGAATATTTAAATTTCCGTCATCATTTATATCATCATTATTTTTTTGTAAATCTGTTTTCAAACGTCGATGCAGTGAAGTAGACAATCAGCGTAACAGTAAAGTTGTAACTCCCGTGTGGCTGTCTCGATTTCGGCCTTTTTTAATGTCACTCGTATACATGTATTTAAATTATTCTCTTTTTTTTTGAATGCCTGTAGAAAAATGTCTTCTTTACATTAAAATGATGATTTTTTTTTGTGATCCAAGTCTCGGCATTTCTTTGGTAGGGAATACACATGTGTAAACATCAAAGATTGGCAGATTCTTTTGAAGAGCAGACTAGTCAATTGTCAGAGGTCATCATGGGTGTAAATTTTGCGTATGTTATTTAAGTTGGAAACATATTGATTATATCTCATTTATTTATTGATGCTACTTTGTTGTTTTCGTGTATTTTCGCACAATTGAAAATTGACAGTCTGCGATGAATTTTCGTTAAAGTTTAAAATTTTTAAAACAGGGGGCAATTATCTGCCCTTTAGAAATTTAAGAAGACAAATGCTGGGTGTGTTTTTTTTCAGACGTACATATGTATTTTAGTAAATTACCGTGTGACGATATTTGGCAGCACAAATTGCACCCGATCGGGTGATAACAGAAAGTCAAAACTGTATCAGGGACGTTTCCGTGACAATGATGAATCCAACCGTAAAATAATCGCAGGGATTGACGGACTTTAGTAAATTGTTTAAGCTGTACTACATACATTTATGGAAAGTAGATTTATAATTGATATCGAGTTGTGTTTGTTTTTTCTTTTATGGTTTGTAAAGTTTCCTTGCTTATAAAAGAAAAAAGACACACAAATGTCTCGAGATGACGTCTAACGTACATGTCTTCCAAGTTCTACTTGAGACGTAGAAATGGTTGAATTGATTTTTGCCGCTCAATGAGTAACAATTAATATCTACTTCTGATATTATGTGATGACCTTTTCTAACAGCGAATCATAGATGAGTAATCTAGCTGGTGCCAATATGGCCCTCTAGTGATAGTAGCAATGCCTTCATTGTAAGTCAAAGTTCATGTTCCCTTAACTGGGGCCAGTTTTCAGGGCATACAAGTGTTTGTGTAATAATGGTTTTCCTTGGATTCTTACAAATTGTAGTTAAAAATATTTCTTTTTTTCTAGAAATCAAGATGGCACATGAGATACATTTAAAGAACAACAAATACCGGCAGTGGGTTAAGGCTGGCCTAGGCTTGGGTTATCTTAAAGAGGGACTTGCGCCATTTTGTGATGACATAGGAAGACAGCAGCACAACGATATTATAAACAAAATACAACAAACAAAGACTCCTCAACCAAACGTACCATGTGGCGCCTGTCAGATAACAACTCTACAGCCAGATCATGTCCGAGTCTCAAAAGGGATATGTCCCCTCAAACAAGATAAATGTAACTGTTGTTTTCCTAATAATAAGAGACCCTGTCCAAACAATATATGTGGTGCCATCTATGACAGCATTATACAGTATCATGCATCAATGCCACCAGTACCTTTTTGGAAAAACAGTGATGTCCAACAGTGGTCGACAGAACCATGGGAGGTTTGCAAATGTTTTATAAATGCTCCTGGGTACAAGGACAAGATATCAGCAGTCGACACCGATTGCACTGGGTTGCTTCATGTTATCATAAATAACAAGTACTTTCATAGCCATGTTACCGGACCAAACAATCTTTTTTCAAAGGTAACTCCATTTGTATACTTAATGTTTATTTTTAATTTTGTAGAATACAGTACTGGATACTTGAAACCCGCACAATTCGCGTATTCGCGGCGAACCCTCGTGCTTTATAACGCAAGCAAATTCGCGGCAACTTGAGACAATTCCTGCTAAATCAACTTGCGACGATTTTGTCGTGATTCGCTGTGAATAATACATGTTACTTTGTATGATAAATGTATGTTACAAGTACTCTATGAACTTGAAACCATTTGTATTTAAATGATATACATGTACATGTATGAATGAAAATTAATTAGTAGATGTACATGAAGTTGTATTAAGAAAATCTTGTAATTTTTTGTAATTAGCTCGACTTTTCTATGAAAAGGGGAGCTATCCTACTCGCCCCGGCGTCGGCGTTGGCGTCACACCTTGGTTAAGTTTTTCGTACCACCCCACTTTATTTCAGAAGTATTACAAGTATGGCTTTGAAACTTACCATACTTGTTCACCATCATAACCTCCATCTACAGACAAGAGTACATAACTCTGTCAAGGTTTTTGACAGAATTATGGCCCTTTTTTGACTTAGAAAGTGTATTGAGCTTGGTTAAGTTTTTTGTACCACCTCACTTTATTTCAAAACCATTGGAGGTATTGCTTTGAAACTGACCATACTTGTTTACCATCACGACCTTCATCAACAGACAAGAGGACATAACTCTGTCAAGGTTTTTGACAGAATTATGCCCCTTTTTGACTTAGAAAATACATTGAATATGGGTAAAATCCACTTATTGCCTTAACCCTTTGAGATATTGCTTTGAAACTTTTAATGCTATTTCACATCATTACCCCCATCTGTACGCAAGAGAAGGTAACTCTGTCAGGGATTTGTTTTAAAAATTAAGGCCTTTTATCGACTTAGAATCTTGGTTAAGTTTTTTGTACCAGTCAACTTTTTGACTGAACTGGTTGAGATATTAAATTGAAAGTTGGAATACTTGTTTACCATCATGGTCCCAAACATGGGCAGGAGAAGGTAATTCTGTTAAGGATTTTATTTGAATTATGGCCCTTTTTGACTTAGAAACTCAGTTAAAATTTTCATTCTTGTCCACTTGTTGACCTAACCATTTGAGATATTACTTTGGAAGTTGGAGTTCTTATGTGCCATCATGAGACCTATCTGTAAGCAAGAGAAGATAACTCTGTGAAAATGTTTCTTGATTTGTACTTAGAAATTCCTAGTTAAAGTCTTGTGTGCCCTTAACTGTCAAAGTTTTGTTTTATAGGCAAGCACTAAAAAAGTCGAGCGCGCTGTCCTTCTGACAGCTCTTGTTAAATTATTTTATTGTCGACCAATCAACTTGCATCTTGCTACTCATCACCTACTCATCTCATGCACCTGGCATTATTTTACTCGTGAAATTGAAATTGAAAGTAAAGAAAGTCTCAATTTAAGTGATAAAACATTTACAATTTTCAACAATTATAATTAGCGTATTAGACGTAATAATTAGTTACACCTATGAACCTTTGAATCGGTAAAAAATTTCGCACTGTATTGTTCTAGAAATAGAAGATATGCGAAAGTAAACAACGGATTTTAATTTCATCTGTATTATTATCAAAGTAACAATTGAACAATTTGTTATCGTGCGTTCTTTGATGTAGTTCCAATAACATTTTGTAGTTTTAATCTCGTTTTGTTGTTAACTAATTTTCATCCAGCACCTGATTGCTTTGTTTTCGAATACAAAATTTATACGCTGTACACTGTACATGTTCAACTGCTATTAATAAATATACATGACATTCACAAGATTTTTTTTCAAACTTTTTACTATATGGATATAGTGAAAATTAAAGACCCCTGGGCGGGACCAAGTAGTACATGTACTTTCTAATACAAATATTGCTGTAGATTCGCCGTAAATTACTGCGATACATCACGGCGATTTTTCTTGAACCGCCATGAAATTTGGCAAACTTGCACGCGGCAATGTTTTACCGCGTAATGTCCCGTCGCGTCATAGACTACACTCGTCATAGACTACACTCGCGGCATAACGCGACTTTTGCGGGTTTCGCGTGTCCAGTACTGTATTAAGCTTTACTATAAGATTTAGTCTGTTAATTGAGTATAAAAGTAAAAGGGAATATTGTTACAGTACAGATAACGAGGAATATGCAAAATCCTCGGAGGATCGAGGAATCCACTCGCAACTCCGTGAGAGTATTTGTCCATAAAAACGAGTGACTCCACGTGAGAAACGTGTGATCAATGAGAGTGACTCCCAGACGAAAATAAGAGCGCGTGACTCAGAGAGAGAATTACTGCGTAACTCCATGTCGGTGTCTAGCTGGTGTAAATAAATGCAAGTGCAATCACATTTTACATTTCATTTTATATTACGATTCGAAAATAAAGATGATTTTTAGCTCGACTATTCGATAAGAATAAGAAGAGCTATTGTAGTCACTCGAGCATCGGCGTCGACGTCTGCGTCGGCGTCTGCGTCGGCGTCGGCGTAACCACTTATGTTAAAGTTTTTGTAATAGTTTAAATATTTTCAAAGTCCATAGACATATGGCTTTGAAACTTTGCACACTTGTTCACCATCATTACCCCAACCTGTAGACAGGAGGAGGTAACTCTATCAAGCATTTTGACAGAATTATGCCCCTTTTTCGACTTAGAATTTCTGATAAAGTTTTTGTAATACCTCAAATATTTTTAAAGTCCATTGACATAT